TTTCTAGAAATGTTTCTGTAAGAATACTTTATCAGCCAGTATCCTGGCAGAAGAAAAGATGGTACATACACTCCAGCTGGGTAACAGAGGAAAATGACGAACCAAGGGATGAGGCAGATTATAGGGAAAGAAAAAGTTACAAGAAAATACGACAGTCAGAACTCCATTGTTGGTGATGGGGAGAAGTATCACCCTCAGTGGAGGGATGCCACTAATCTACAGCAGCGATGTGGACAGACTAAGTGGGACAAATACTCTGACCCACGGTTTTCTACATTTATACCTGGAGAACAAGCATCAGAGAGTGAGAGAGCCTACTAAGCAAGCACATCAGCCTCTTGGCCACAGAGCAGAAAGGGGACAGGGAGGAGCAAGAGGGCCAGAACTGGTCATTGCTGAGGATAGTCACAAAGTTCTATTTATTTACACCTGAAATAATCTCTTTGTAAACAGCAATAATTATGTTTATAGTAACATATCTGAGACACCTCTTTTGGATATCTCATTAAGTCTGTGCATTAGGTCTCCTTTCAAAACACCTGGAATACAGAGAGCCTTGTATGTTCACAGAAACTGCAAAAATGCTAGCAGGAGCCACGCAAATAAAATAAAGGTCAATGTAAATGCATCTGCCTTGTGCACATGACCTCCTCCCCAGATAAAAGCAGGTATGTAAAAGCAGAGAAATGACCAACTCCCCCTCCTGGAGTGGTTGCATGACACCATCTGTGCAAAGCGTTTTGCACAGAACTTGGTACTTAAGACAGTATACAGTGAATATTCACCACTGCTATGACTACCACCAGCATTACCGCTTACAACCACAGTGACCTCTGACAGCCTGACAAAAATCCCCCCACAGAATAACCATGTCTGACACCTGGGACTCTGTCAGTAGTGCCTCACACCTAAGCAGTGGTCAGTTAAGGCCAGATAACAAAGACAACAGTAAAAACAGATTGTCTAATGACAACCCATTGCTGGTAGATGAAGCCTTCTAGCTGTGTCCCTACAGTCAGGATGAAGAATAGGGAATTCACCAGAGTCTCTTTTAAGGGCACTAGTTTCACTCACAAAGTTGAACTTTCAAGACTTGCTATCAAAAATCTCTGACATCTTTGTACGGTTAGACTGGTTGCTGGTTCCAACATACAAATTAAGGGGTGGGCATTAAGACATCAACAGTTAGATCACAAGCAAAGCATGTTATCTTGTGCTCCACAATGATATTGAGCTTAGTCCCATTTCCTGCTTTGGCCAAGGGAACATGGGTCCACCAGGCAGAGGCTCCCAGGGTCCTTGAGAGCCTTTACCAACCCTCTTGTATTCCTTCCCTTATTGCAGGCACATCATATCCTACAGTAGAGCCATGAGTGAACGAACCATAGTGAATACACTGGCAGCAACAGTGATGCCTCCATGGCTCTTCCAGAGTCCTGAGCCAGGAAAAACTGTTCCCATTTGCCACTGAAACTTTGTAATTTCTTAATGGGTGATACAGGGTAATCTGATTAATCCACTTGAACAAGGTTTTGAAGGCATGCTAGCTTAGGAAAGGGTAAAACAACAACAACAAAGCTAAATCTCAGAGTTCAACTTATTGTAGTTCCAACCACAGCCCTGGTAACCACCAGATACAGCACTCCGACTGGACAAGCCTCAGTAAACTCTCCTTCGATGGACTACTGTGAAAATGAACCATATCTACAAATCACGTATCAGTGTCTGACACCTAGCCGATACTTGCTAAATGGAAAAAAATAACACAATTAATAAGAAATGGCGCAATATCTTCCCAATCATCCATGATTAACATGCTGAAGTGGGAACTGCTCATCTCAAAGTAAATACGTCTTTATTACTAACTGTAGGTAAATTAAACAGTGATATCATGGCTCAAGTCTGTAGCTTACAAAAGCATTTATTCAAAAACTGCAGCTTAAAATAAAGAAGGTGCTTTCTGGAACATCATTGCAGTCACAAACATGAATTTCTGTTGTGTCAAAGAGAAGGAAAGCATTCTTTGTGACGGCTAAATTATTCAATTGCATCTTCCACAATAGTGATTTCAATTGTGATCAAACCCGCAGCGGCTGGGTAAGGGCACCCAGTTTATCCATTTACTATGAACATCACTAAACATCAAACACTTGTGTGGGTTAAGAATATAAAAGATTTGGCTTTATGCACCAAGCTCTAAGTGTCAAGACATGCAAGTTCTTAAGGGCACTAACTAATCCTAACAAGTGCACATGCACAAAAGCACTTGTAATTGCTGAAGCACAGAAAAAGATTTTCGATCTAGCAAAATGGCATTCATAAAAATGTTACCACTAGGAAGTAATGCAAGATGTACTTGGACTGTCAAATTTGACCAAAAAAAAATCTAAATAATTTACTCAATTCCCTGCCTTTGCAAAGAGTAAAGAAGCAGGCTTACCAACAAAGGTATCGTCTGGTACCTAGTCTTGTGGGAGCTCCCAGGAACAAAGGTAGTGTTTCTAAAGCACATAGAACAGGAGTGCGGGAGGTAAGCACACAAAGACCCTTGGACTCCCACTCCAGACCTAGTGAACCAGAATGTGCAGGAAATCTGGTTTGGAATCTGCGTTACCAAACTTCACAAATGATTTCTGAGCACTCTAAGTTTGAGACTTGCAGGTCACTCTAAGTCATTAAGTGTTCGTTGGCTAACTGAAAAGTTTGGAAAATAAAAATTCACTCTCTGGCCACTGGTCAAGTCAAGATGATGCAGCCTGCTGGACCAAGGAGCCATTATTCTGCCAGCACCCAAATCATGACGCCCAGCACTTGATGGGAAACAACTGATGTTCAACAGTAGTATGAGCTCAACAGCACTTTGGAGACGCTTGTTAGACAAATTCCAGCCTTCTCCTCAACCTTAGCATCTCTGTGGCACAAGTGTAGACAATTGTTCCCTATCAGCTTTTTGGGCTTGTCGGTTAAAATCTACATGTAGTATGAGAGGAAGAAAAATGGTTATATTTATTTTTTAAAAATTATTTTTAGAGAGAAAGCCCAAGAATGCATGTTTGCTCAGAACTTCTACCCACTGGTTCATTCAATTCAATTCATGGCTCTCACATGGGGAGCAGGGAGCTAATTACTTGAACCATCGTCCACCGTCTTCCAGGCTGTACATTCATGGAGAGCTGGAATGAAGAGCAGGAGTGGTAATCAAACCTAGGCCCTCTAATGTGCACTGGAGGTGTTCCAACCAAACTGCTGGGAGCATATGCCCAATTAAGAACATTACCGCAAGAAAATCTGAATCTATATCAAAAAACGTCACGGAGCTCAAAGCATTTCCCCAACAGAGGAAGAAAACTAGTTTTCACTTTTAAGAGAAGGAAGCTGGTCAAATTAATGAGAGAAAAAATTGTGATCAGAGCTTTTAAAATTAAAACATCCTCTAGGGGCTGGTGCCATGGCATGGTAGGCTAAATCTCTGCCTGAGGTGCCAGCATTCTACATGGCTGCCAGTTCATGATCTAGCTCCCAGGTGTACAGCCTGGGAAAGCAGTGGAGAATGATCCACACCCTTGGGCACTTGCACTCATGTGGAAGACCTGAAAGAAGCTCTTGGCTTCAGTTTGGCTCAGTGATGGCCGTTTTGGCCACTTGGGGAGGGAACCAGTGGATGGAAGATCTCTCCTTCTGTCTGCCCTTCTCTTTTCAACCAAAATCAAATAAATATTTTAAGAAACAAAAAACCCTGTGGAGAGGTAAATTGTAAAAACAATTGAAAGAGCAACAGATCACAATTGAGAGGTGGGTTCTAGTCCAGCTTACATACTCTTAACGAAAATATGACTTATGCAACTCAGCCACTCTTTCACCCAAGGGAGCTGAGGTTTATAATGAAACAGCTTTGTAAATCAGCAAGTAATGTCAACATGTAAACAGTATTACCATCAGTGACAGAGTGTTTTTTATATAATCCAGAATATAACAGAATAAATATAGGTTAGCAAGTTGTTTCAACGCAGGTAGCGATTATCAAATTATTAGACTTGAGAAATATGGGACAATTTTATCATTCAATGAAACCATATAAATTATTTCTAAAACAATACCAAAGATAAAAAAAGAAAGTAATATGATGTATATGGGGAAAATCTAAGCACTCATGGAAATGCTGCCATTTCTCACTTCATCCAGGCACAAGATAAAGCTTATCTCCTCACTAAAAACAACTCAACATGCTTCGATGTAGCCATTCAAATAGTGGTGGCTAATGGTTCAATCTGTTCATATCTACCCACCCATATCTCCACCCATATCTAACAATAGGAACTAAGAATCTATGTCCATACCTACAATGAAGAATAAATAAAAACATGAGAATTTGGGGATAATATTCCCCATATTTTAAAATGTCCTATAAAAACAATTCTTATGAACCATTAATAAATAAAATCAATGACTAATCCATTATAAAAGCATTTCTAGAAACATAGCTCCATTATTACTGGCACATACACAAAATAAATGTCCATCACTGAGTCCCATGGACATACAAACCATGAACGACCAAGCACCTAATGCAATACCACTTCAGCAAAGCCTTCCCATCAAGGGAAAGCCTTCTAGTACAAAATCCATTTGCAAATCCATTTCACACTTCTAATTTAAACCCAATTCAAATCTAATTTGCTTTATCATGGCCCTTCATTTTGCAAGGGTCAGAAGTACAATCAACAGAAATGACAATTACTTATGCTTATCAAGAGACAACCCAGTAGCAATAGTACTGAACAAGAAAAATAGAGAACTAAAATTCCCACTGGAAACCCTGGGTATCACTGTATGAATAAATCTCACAAGCCTACACATTCTAATGCATAGCTTTAACTGAAGTCATCTCCATACCAAAAAAAATTTTTTTTGTTATTCTGTTTCATAATTCCCTAACATCCATTTCATAACTGTGATAGTTTAAGGCAGGTTATACCTGCAGCATAAAATTCAAAACTTACCACTTTCATCATCGATATTGAACCTTCCCAGACCGCTGCCATCCCTGATGGAGTACTGGATCTCTCCATCCCTCCCGGAGTCTTCATCTCGGGCAGTCACCTGCAGCACACTTGTTCCAATACGTGAGTTTTCCTTTACAGATCCAATGACAGCAAAGTCTGGGAAATACGGAGTGTGGAGATTTTCATTGACATCCACCACTTCCACCTCAACAAAGGAAACAGATGAGAGAGAGACAGGCCGTCCTTTGTCTTTGGCCCGAACTGTGAGGTTATAGAACTGCTGTTTTTCATAGTCTAATTCTTTGCTCAAGCGGATGGCACCACTTGATTTATCTATTTCAAATCTCCCATTATAGTCATTGACCAAGGAGTAGCGCACTTGACCCCCCAATCCAAGGTCTGGATCATGAGTTTCCAACCAAGCAATGACAGTGCCAATGGGGAGATCTTCAAGGACCTTCACACTATAGCTACTGGGAATAAAAGTTGGAGAGCAGTCATTGACATCATCCAAAAAAACCTTGAGAGTAACAACTGAAAAAAGCTGTTGACCACTTTCTGCCTTGTCTCTGGCTTCTATTTTCAAAGAATAGTTTGCTTTGGATTCCCGATCCAATTGGTCAGCTACATAAATGATTCCAGTTGAACTGTTAATGGCAAACTGCTGTGTATCAGTCAAGACTGAGTAAGTCACTTCCCCATTCGACCCCAAGTCTTTGTCTCTGGCTTCCACTTGAATAATCTCAGTGCCAATGCTTGAACTTTCCAGAATGTTAATGGAATAACTGTCTTGAAGAAAAACTGGGCTATTGTCATTTGCATCCTCCACATTGATGGTCAACAACCTCCATGATGATTTTTGTGGCTTCCCTAGATCATAGATGGTGATATTAAGGAGATAGAGGTCTGTGTGCTCTCGATCCATAGGCATGAGGACTTTAAGTTGCCCAGTCTCCAAATCAATGTTAAAGCAACTGTCTGTATTTCCATCAGAGATTGTAAATAGCACCTTTCCATTGAAGCCAGAGTCAGCATCATAGGCTTTAATCTTCAGGATGTTCGTTCCCACTGGCATATCCTCCTTCACAGCCACATCAGAAGGAAAAGACTTGTCAAAATGTGGTCCTTGCCTGTTAACAGAATAAAAGTCGAGAAATCCATCTTCTAGATTCAGTTTCCCATTTGCTTTTGCCTTAATGAGTAGTTTTTCTGCCAGCTTTTGAGCTACCCGAGTTTCTCTGCAACTGAAGCTCTTTGAAGACACCTTCCCATGAAGAATTGAAATGTTAATAGCCATGGGGTCTGCAAAATTTTCTCCATCTGTTGCTGTAATTCTCAGGGCAAAATTACTATTTTTAATGCCGGAATTCATGAGTGACTTTTTAAGCTGCAAAACACCCGAGTCTGGGTTTAAATAAAAGAATCCAAGTTCATTTCCAGAAATGATTTTGTACTTTACAAGTTCAAGTTCATCAATATCGATCGCTGAGACAGCTGTGATGTGACCCCCAACTGGAAAATCATAGGAAATAACTCCTTGGCAAGCCACTTTTTCAAAGAGAGGGATATTGTCATTGACGTTCCCTATTCGAATAGTGACATTGACCTCACTTTCATGGCGGTATGGGGATCCCCAGTCAGAAGCTCTAACAATAAATCTGTATATTTCTGGAGAGGATTCAAAATCTAATTCTTCAGTTGTGCTAATAACACCTGTAAACTGGTTAATGGCAAAGGGTAATAAATTCAGGCTGGCAATACTGTAGGTGATGTATCCATTTTCTCCTTTATCTTTATCATAAGCTGAAACCATTAGGACACTGGTTCCCACAGGAACACTTTCGTTTATAAAAGCATCGTACAGTGGCTGCTGAAATTCTGGAGTATGGTCATTTGCATCTTCAATGCCAATAGTGACTTGTGCTTTCAAATCTCCTTCCTTGTTTGTCACCTCCAATTTGTAGACTTCCTTCTTCACAGTATTCAGCGGTAGTGCTGTGACAATCAGCCCTGATCGAGGATTAATTCTGAAGTACTCCGCATCCTCACCAGGAGACAATTTGTATTCCACATGTAGAGGCTCAGGACTTAGTTTTACTATAGCAACCATAACCCCTGGAGGGGAGAACTCACTTATGCTCACATCATACTCCTCTTTTTCAAATTTAACTGGTACGGTGTCTCTTTTGGGATTGGCAATATGGACCATCTTTAATGCTGAAAGTTTTTGAGGCGAGCCTTTGTCTTTCGCTTGAAGAGTGAGATTGTAACCATAGAAAACACTCTCCCAGTCAACCTGCTTCCTCTCCTTAATCTTAAACTCATTCATCCATTTTCCTTCCTTAGCCAGGAAGAATTGGTCTAAAGGATCACCCGCCACAATAGAGACAGACTCAATCTCTCCATTGGCTCCCTCATCCATGTCATCAACAGTCACCACTGCATATGTCGGCTCTTTGTCCAAGGAGAAAGGAATGTGAGTTACCACGTGGATTGTTGGAGCATGTTCATTTATGCGTTCAATGTGAACATACAGCTTTGCAGTACTGCTCACTCCATTGTTTCCATAGAGTTTCATGCCACGGTCGACAGCCAAGATTTCCAGATCATACCTACTCTTCTCATCGTAGTTTAATCGCCCACTTAAAGAGATGACTCCACTTGTGGGGTGAACGGAGAAGAGCTCTACTTTGTTTTTAAAGTAGTAATAGAATTCTCCATTGGACCCGATATCAGCATCTGTGGCTGTCACTTGGGCCACACTAGTCCTCAGTGGTGTGCTCTCTGCTATGGTAACAGAGTAGGTCGTAGGTGAAAACAGAGGTCTCAGATCATTCATATCTAAGACCTGTATGTTCACTTTGGTCCATGCTTCCAAATCTTCTCCCCTGACAGATCCTTTTATTATCAATAAATAATTGTCCTGAATTTCTCTGTTCAATATGGCAGAATTGCCACCTTTAGTTCTTATTCTGAGAAAACAGAAATCTGCAATGATGACTTCCTCTGCTTTAAAAAACCCTTCCTCATCTCCAGACACTATTCTGTATTTGATATCCCAGGATAGATCGATGAGGGTGATGCCCATTCTACTCTGGCTGTTTACGTAGGTCCTTGCTGCCGAGTTCTCATACACTGTAGCATTGTAAACGGAATGTGTAAAGTGGAAGCCCAGGGGTCCAGTCCCTGGCAACCCCTGGGAGACAGTGGCCAAAAGCTTGAGAAGCAGGAAGATGAGGCAAGGAGGAGAAGGCCGTCTACCCACACAGTGTCCCATAATTATATCCATCACATCATACTTCCATCCTGGAGAGAAACAGAGAAAAAAATATAAATTAGCTTGCAAGAGAGGGACAGACGGAGTAAGAAGTAACTGACATGAAACAGATTTTAGAAAATTTCATACAAAATCTTTTAATAAAATACTAGAAAAAAGAAAACTTATCACTATATAATAAAGAATTCAAAAATCACTAGGATTTTATCTTGTCTGAATGTTTTCAAGTGACACCTTTACACTGTTGATGTGAGGTTGTTCACATTCTGAAGGTCAATGCAGACATCTTTCAGCCTTCAGTGAATTCACCTTTGACTTAGAATTCCCTCATGTTAGTTTTCTATGGAACCACTTAGGCCAATCTTCATTACAGTATACTAACCAAAAGACTCAGACAATACTAAATGTCTATCGACAGAGGGCAAAATAACTTATAACTCATTCAAAACATTAACCAGTCAATGGAATTAATAGAAATAAGTATTTTCTGATCTTTTGGTGTAGTGCGAGAAGCTGTCACCAACAACACCATTATCCCATATGGGTGCTAGTTTGTGTACAAGCTGCCCCACTTTCCATCCATTTCCCAGGTAGCGGCCTGGGAGAAGCAGAAGATGACCCAAGAGTTTGGAGCCCTGTAACTCATGCAGGGACCCAGATGAAGCTCTCATCCTGGCCCAAACTGCTATTGCTACATTCTGTGGAGTGAGCTAGAGGATGAGCGCATGCTCTTCCTGTAACTGTCAAATAACCAAATTTAAAAAAAAAAAAAACACGGTGTAATGCTAAACAAAATTTAAAAATCAATCATATTAAGTGCTATAATATGATACATCCATTAGTATAATTTCATGTTTATATTTAAAATCGAGTAGCAGATTTGGAAGTACATTTGTATTTTCTAATTTGTCTTCTATTAATATTGTGAATCAGTGAATATATAATTACTTATACAGCTTTAACCTTTTAAAGAAATAGTTAAAATTTTTGCATCTTTTATTGCACTTACTCCGGTTAAGATTTAAGTATAACCAAATACAACAAGAACAAGCTAAGCATCACATGACTCAGCAGACAGAATTATCCCCAAGATGTGGCATAAGCTAAGTATTCTTCATTGGTATACTGTGCTCCTCAGCCAAAGGGAGAGTTTTTTTCTAAGTAGTTAAGGGATTATAAAAGGCACCTGCAATTATTTTCGTAAGAGATTATTACATTTCATCAGTCTCCAATTTTAAGACCAGGCATGTTAAAAAACATTTTCTCACTGCCAATAGTAAAATATTTTTTTTAAAATATTTATTTCACTTGGAAATGAAAATTTCACAAAGAAAAATGGAGAGAAGGGATTTCTACCCACTGGTTCACATCCAAAACAGTTTCTACAGTCCAAAGCTGAGAGCCAGGAGCTTCTTTCACATTTCCCATATAAGTGTAGGTGTGCAAGGACTTGGGCCAATCTCCTCTGTTTTCTCATGCCTTTAGCAGGCAGAGGGATCAGAAGATGAGCAGCCAGGCCACAGCATCACCAGTGCCTTCACACGTGATTAACCTATGTCAATATGCTGACCCCTCAAGCATTTTTAAAGTATGGGGCAGGTCCTCTTTTACATGGTATGTGGAGATGGGGTATGGGAAGGAACATGCGGTCACCCAGTAGCTTTGCCAATGCTGCCATTTTCCTTTTCTACTCTGTTAAATTTAATCTTCAAAACTAATCTAAAAGATACTGCTTTTCCACATATTAGAAAAACCAGATTCAAAGGAGTTAATCTGTTTAGAATGTTGTTTGGAATACCAAGCTGTATCCCCAGTTGGTAAGCCGCAAAACAAAATGTCAGACCCTGATCTTCCCAGTCTGAATTCTATTTCACCCCAGTATATTGACATTCTGTTTTAATTATTTGTAAACAATGAAATAATTAAGACTCCTAGAAGCACATATTTTAATCCTATTGAGCTAATCAACATGTATTATTAAATAAAAAGCATAAAATCCACCTAGTACCTCTCTGTGGTTATCTCCTTTTTAAAAAAATTATTTCCAATTACTGACTGCAAACTTAAAAATAAATCTAAGAAATTCAGTGGCTTAATGGTACACACTGTTTATCTTATAAAACTCTTTCGTATCCAAGCTTATTAAAGCATGCTATAGCCTTGTTGTAGATGAGAACATTAAATTTCATTTTTCCTATTGCAGAGTGAATTCCAACTCAGGCTTGTTCTATATGGAACACAGTAGCAACACTACCCTTCCAATGTTTTGCAACTCTGCCTTACAAGATACTCAAATGAAGACCCTAGACATAGATTTGCCTGGCTCTAACTGGGCATAAAATACACTGCTCTCTGCCACTGAGGTACCTAGAAAATAATGAATAGCATGTAGAGAAGAGGCCAAGCTGAATACATGGGTTTCATGGAAAGAACAGGAAGGAGAACTGAAAAGCAGAGAGAGGGGGGGTAATTTTTTCTGACAGTCTATTGCACATGCAGATCTGGACCATCAGTCAGTAAGGAACAGCAGACATGTGACGAGTGTGAGAGGAACACCTTGGGTACTGGCTCGATGCACCAGCACAAGGATCCAGTGAGATGGCAGCTCAGCACATACACAGAAAGACAACACTGGACTGCAGGTAATTCCAGAGTAAACTCTGATAGGAAGACCACACATTTTTGTTTTTGGATTCAATAGATTCAAGCATTCAAATTAAGAGTAGAGAATCCTGCAGGACTGGTGTGATTGAGGTGCCTATTTTGCAGTGCACACTCAGGAAAACTATGGGTTCAGTAGACCTCTTGTTAGCTGATGCTAACTGGTGAATGCTTTAGGAACATTCCATGTAGCTCAACAGTCTTTTATTTCATTATCCAAACTTGCCGCACAGCAATGGAGGCGTTTTGGGGGGGTCACTGTGAGCAGGTTAGAAGGCGACAAGGCTCTTAAGAGGGAATGCGATGTCCATGTTACACACTCTCAAAGTAAAACACTAAGGCTGCTGCCACAGGGCTCCGGGGAAGTACAAATCCTGTTTCTGCCTCATTTCCCTCTCGTTGTTTCCAGCTGATGAAACTGCCTGAGAGAGCAGTTCTGCCTGTACTTCGTCCAGGGAGTCTGAACTCCTCGGACTTCAGAGAGTGAAATCTCCATGAAGGTAAAAGCAGCTCCTCAGAATTTTTCATCTACCTCCTCCCACCTCCACACCCCCAGCCAGAGGCCCTACTGAAGGAATCCTGATGGGGAACCCTGCACTAGTGCATTTCTTTCCCAGCATCCAATGCTGTCACCCTGGAGGCCAACTGGAAGCAAGCAGCAGCAGCTTGCTGAGCAGAGCATTACAACATGGATCAGCCAGAGGTTCCAAGGCCTTTCACACGCACAAGCTTCCAAGCACCCCAAACAAGTGCATCTTCTTTCAGGGAACCCAATGATAAAAGTCCACAGGCTCCAAGGAGTGGTAAACATCCTGGAGCCTAGTTGCCTGAGTTTACAGATGAGAAAATGCCCACAGAAAGAAAACACTTCTCTATTACCAGGTCTCATATCGCCCAGATTCAGAGCCAATTCCAAACGAACACAGGTGACAATCACATTCCCAATGAGGTACAGCACAACCTCAGAGCCACGGTTTGTCATCATTCGGCAGCGATCTGTGCTTTCTGACACCTTATTGCTCTCGCTGGTGCTACTTCTTCCTCTAGGTAGTTAACTGTTTATAAGAAACCGTTTAAGTGCCCCAGGGGCGTAGTTACTTTTACAAATCCTTCTGTGAATCTCTCAAAGCAAAGAAAGCTGTCATAATATGAAAAAGCATCATTCAATTTAACTATTCGAAAATTGGTACCTTTGCATTTTGAGTTTTCCTTTCAGCAAGATCTAGCACTGAAACTCTTTTCTTATAAGCCAGCACCAATGGCCTTAAATGTAAACAGAAAATGCTTCAAACAAAGCCTAAGTGGCATAGTATTGTTGTGCACTGATATTTGAATTTAATACCAAAAATCTGAGCAAGGCAAAGCTTGTCAGCTTCACCTGTCGAAACTGAAATACCTCTTAAGGCTTTTGCATGTTGATTCTTGCAAAAGAAACATAAAAGCCTTATCCAGTACAAATTACTTCAAAACCAAAGTTCTCCCATTATTTAGAAAATAAAGCAGTGCTAGAAGTTAGACCTGCTCTCAAATTTTGCAAAGTAAATACGAAAACAGAATCCTCGTTTCTTTTTTTTTTTTTTTGTCGTCTCAGGTTAAACAACTGTTTAGGTTTTGTTCTTTTTTTTATTATTTAAAGAAAACTGTTGGCTGTTTCCACATCAAGGCTCAACTATGTGTGAAGCCAATGCTATTTCTGATGTTTTTGATGCTCTGCACATTGATTTATTCTAGTGATTCTGGATTATTTTAAGGCAAGCACTTAGTTCCCAACCTCAGAGTGTATCTCCAATGACTCAGAAACATAACCAATAATTTGTGATGCCCATCGCCAAAGAGATCATTAAGCCATCAATCTTGGAGACATTTATTTCTCAGGGGCTATCCTAGCAGGCTTTCCTATCATGCCTTGTCTGCTGTTAGCATGGGCTTAGTGAGGGGCTCCAAAGGGCAAGTAGACCTCTTTCCTCCCTGAATGCATAAATGCCAGGGTTCTGAGTGGGAGCAGGAGGCAGGGAGCAGTGAGCATGGAGAGCAGTCTTCAAGATGGCCCCGATGCTAATAATAGTACCTGTTGTGTTTGCCTTGGCTAATTGGGAAAGCTCTTTTCTGCCATCATTAACCACCTCTCTGAAATAGCTGAGCTTTCTGAATAGCAAAGCAGGCATCTTAAAAAGACATTCTATTTTCACTCCATCTCTTCTTATCACACCAATTTGGAAAGATTTTATTTTTAACATGACAGAGAGGGTACTCAGGAAATACACTATGATGGGCTGTGACATCATGATGACACATGGGAAGTCCTGCCTCACAGATGTCCTTTATCAAGAATGACCTGTGTTTGAACTTCAAAAAGAAGGTCACTTCCA